ATTTTAATCTATTTCTCAGTGAATATAGGCATTGCATTTTGGTGCATTAAACAGATTAATTAAACAGATATATGGATTAAATTATTATTATTTTAGTCACCAAACATATTTAGAAATTGAAAGATAATACAATTAAATTGGAAAGCAAAATGTTGCAAAAAAATACAAACTACAAAATTTTACCTTTTTTATTTTTATTTTTTGCTTTTCTTCATTTGTTTTTCTCTTTTTAAAATTTGTATTTTATATTTTTCTTTAACATAAATTTAGGTGTACTAGTTTATGGACCGTTATCGTAAGTTATTTTGTTAGATGAGTCCAGATTTGGCTTCAGTACTGACTAATCCAATGTATATGCATAAATAAATAACTGTATAGCTTCCTATTAAAATTATGAATTTAAAAGATAGATTTGTAAGGAGGGTGGGTTCTTGTATATGCTGAGCACTGAATGTCAAAACAAACGTTTGTTTTGAATGTAATTTAATAGTGATTAGTCTGTATATCAATAAACATTTAGCCAAATGACAATGTAAACTCAACTGAATTCCGGTTCAGTGACTTATTTTATGTTTCTGATGATTGTGGCTATTAAAAATTGAGAACACTTCACAATTCTTCAAGGGGTGAACTTCTAAAAAGGGTGAACAAAGTAAATGTTTCTGTTTAAAAAGATCTTCTTTTATGTGTGAATATCTTAATTCAGTATCAATGACTGGTGCTAAACAAATATAATGATTTTTTTTCCAGAAACAAAGTAACACTTTACATTAGTAATGTTCACCAATCTGGCTCTTAATGTACAGTAATGTAATGTATTTTACTCTTTTAACTCTTGTTATCTTTCTTTTTTAGGATTTTGTTCCACTGTACCAGGACTTTGAGAACTTTTACACCAGGAATCTGTATATGAGGATCAGAGACAACTGGAACAGGCCCATATGCAGTGTTCCTGGAGCCAAGATGGATCTAGTGGAGCGGGTCACTCCAGACTACAACTGGACCTTTGAGTGAGTGTTTCTCAGTTACTTAGTAAAGAATGTCATGCCTTTAAAGTAATACTTTTACTATTCACATGGGTTGTTGGCATTAACAGAAACAGAGGGCATATCTTAAGGTTCACTGACATGATTATCATAGTGACAAAAGCAAATCACATGCCACAATATATGCCAGAACCACTGCTTTTCCAGCTTTGGTCTCTCTAGGATGAGTCCTGCCATGTATATAAAGATTTAACATAAAGCACTGGAGGTCCGATTTATAAAATGTGCGCACCAGAACAGCCGGACACAAGAACAGTTTCTTCCCTCAGGAAATCCATCTCATGAACACTTGATAATAATTGTGGAACATACCTTATCTATACACAAATACACTTTTTTTTTATTTAACAACATGCATAGTTAACATTTCAATTTGCACTTAGTTTAGTTACACATATAGTAATATTCTGTACATTCATTGTACAGTTTTATTTACTTTTTAAAATTCCTTTATTGTCTGTGTTTTTGTCCTGTCATTGTCGTTCTGTTGCACTGTGGAAACTGCTGTCCCGAAAACAAATTCCTTGTATGTGTAAACATACCTGGCAATAAAGCTCTTTCTGGCTCTGATTCTAAGCAGTAATAATAGGATTTTCCTCCATTTTGACATACCACTATTGTCTATTCATTCATTCATTTTCTTTTCAGCTTAGTGTCTCTATTAATCTGGGGTTGCCACAGCGTGATGAACCGCCAACTTATCCAACATATGTTTTACTCAGCAGATGCCCTTCCAGCTGCAACCCATCTCTGGGAAACATCCATACACACTTATTCACTCTCTTACACTGCGGACAATTTAGCTTACCCAATTCACCTGTACTGCATGTTTTTGGACTGTGGGGGGAAACCGGAGCACCCGGAGGAAACCCATGCAAATGCGGGGAGAACATGCAAACTCCACACAGAA